GGGAGCCAGAGGACAGGAAGTGTGTGTGAGGAACTGGGAGCAAGAGGTGTGCAAGAAGCTGAGAGTGAGTAGGCGTACTGCTGGAGGACTGAGAAGTACAAGCATTATCAGACATCAGGAGGAAGGTCCTGTGGTGAGAATAAGGAAGGTGTTTGGAGGAGGCCATGGGGAAGTAGCCCAGGGAATTGTAGCAGTCATGCAGCTGTTACAGGAGGCACTATAGACATCTGCAGTCCACAGGGCCCTGGGCTGGAGTCTGGAGTAGAGGGCGGGCCTGGGTTCCCCCCATACCTCCCAACTCCTGATCAAACATGGGGGGAATTGACCTGGACTATAGCTTCTACCAGAGGGGAAGGTCTCTGGACTGTTTCCTGACCCACAGGGTGAATCTGTGAAGCGAGCAAATCCACCAATAAGCGCAGGCTCCACCAAGGTAGAGGCGGAACTTTGTCACAGTATGTTCACACTTTAAGCACAGATATTTGTGATTTTTAAGTGAGTCTTAAGTGCAGTGGCTAAGAACAGTCAGGAGGAGGTCACAGTTTTGTTACTTTCTGTTTGCTTATTTTGGGAAAGGGAAGTAGGACCAGAAAAGCAGAAAAATGACTACCAGAGAGGCAGCTACAAAACTAGAGCTGGCCAGACTGGAAGCAGAAGAGAAGGCAAAGGATTGCAAGTTTCAAATGTGGCAGGCAGAAATGAGGCTCAAAGAAGAGGAAGCTGCACACAGAAGGGCCATGGAAGAAAGAGAGAGAGAAGAAAGAGAGAATAAGAGAACGGAAAGAGAGCGAAAACACCAACTGGACCTGCTAGAGAAGCAGAACCAGAACCCCCCGACCCCGAGTCCCATCACTCCAAAAATCCACAAATGGGAACACTTATGTTCTGCGTACAGTGACGATGATATTGCTGAATATCTGACTACTTTCAAAAGGCTGTGTGTAATACATGAAATACCTGATGATAGAGTTCCTACCTTGATTGCGAAATCAACTGGTAAAGCTGAAAATGTATTCAATGGAATACCTATTGAAGATGCTTTAGACTATTGTAAATTTAAATATACTGTTTTGTGAAGTTTTCAGATTACCCCTGAAACATATAGAGTTAAATTTAGGAATCTTAAGAGGGATATTGGTATGAGTAATGGAGAATATGTAAACAAAATGAAAGATTTGTTGGGAAAATGGGTGAGGGGTAAGGAGGTGGCAAGTTTTGCGGTAATGTTGGATCTTGTTGTTCAAGAGCATTTCCTAAGCGTATGTAAGGCTGATGTAAAGCAGTGTCTATGGGACAAAGATGTAAAGTCTATGGATGAGATTGCTTTTTTAGCTGATGCCTTTGAACAGAATCAGGCATCTATTGAGGGCAGGCCACAGAAACAGGGGTTTAAAACTGGTGGGAAGGGAGGATCCCATTTTGTCCTTGGGAAGAGAGAAGGGGGTTGGGAGCCTAAACACGCTTACCCAAAAATATTCCTCTAACCCTCATCCCAAATCTGTAAAAGTAGAAGAGCCCAAAAGGTCCTATCACTGTAATCCTGTAATTCCACTGATCACCTGAGGAATAAATGCCCTGTGCTAGGAGGAAGCAGGCAGACAATAGTTCATGTTAGTTTTGCTGTCCTCAACACAGAAACCCCCCAAGCAATTGAAACCTATCATATTGGTTCTGTGAGGTTAGCCTCTGCAGAACCAGATATGGAACATGTTAAGGCTGTCCAAATTGATGGCAGGGAATATTTGGGGCAGAGGGATACAGGGGCCCAGATCTCTCTGATTAAGCAGAGTGTGGTTCTAAAGGCCAGTATGTTGCCTGGCCAAATGGCAGAGATTGTGGGGGTGGGGGAAAACAGATTCCTCATACCACTAGCTAAAATCCATGTGGTTTAGTAAGGTTTGGAAAGTATTTTGACTGTGTGGGTAATGGAACACCTCCTATTCGACCTGCTTCTTGGTAATGATTTTTTCCGTGTAGCTTGGGTTAAAGTATTTGCCTGCAGCAGGAGGGAGTGTTATGTTGGGACCCCCGAGGGAAAGGGTAAGGTCTCAGGAAATGCTGAGAGAATGGGAGAGTCTCTCCTTGATTCTTCTGCAGCAGGGAGAAGCCACATGCTTCCGGTGGGAGAGAGGTTGAGACCAACTCCTGCACTGCAGCTGGAGGCAACACCACATCAGAAAGGGATAGTGATGTAATGCGTGCCAGGGACAGAATTGTCCAGGTTGTTAGCTGCTAGCAGGTTGCAGCTGAACCAGAGATAAAACCGGCTCTAGGGAGCAGAGAGAAATGTGTCCCAGAGGAGAGCCCAGAGAAGGGGCAAGGAATCTCAGAAACCACTAAAGTGGGTGAGGATTGTCTTGTGTTTCACAGAGGCTTGGTTTTTGTTTTGTTTTTTTGACAATGGGGAAAGTGCGTTTTTTTGCTCTTCTTATACTCTAAATGACTGAATAGTTTTTGCTCTAACTTTCAAAAAATATTCACCTTTACAAGATTTCAGCCTGAAAGGTGAATATTGTGGAAAGTTATGAAAACATGAAACAGCGGGTATAATGGAAAGGTTTATGCAAATTTAATTGCAATGATTACTCTTGTAACAACTACAATTTTACACCTTTTGAGAAAAAAACTGACAAGCAACTTTCCTTATCACATTGAGTAGCAGAGAAAAAATCTGACCTTATTTTGTATTTCTCTTTTAGTTTATTGGAAATCCTGGCATTCAGAAATGTGGATTAAAAATACTTTCTTCTGTAGTGGAGTGTTCTGGTGCACTACAAATGTTATCCCAACAAGGAGCCGCAGACACTGTACTTCACACACTACAGATGTATCCAGATGATCAAGGTACATAGGAAGTTGTCTTGTTACTTAAATGTGAATCTTGTAATAGCCTATGTATCTTTACATCATATTATAAATGTAACATACTAAATTTGTCTCTTTAATTCTGAACCAGTAATTAATATTAATAATCTCTTTTTCTAGAAATACAGTGCTTAGGTTTGAGTCTTCTAGGATCTTTGATTACAAGAAAGAGTTTGTGTATCGCATCTATGCATGTGCTGGCAACAGTTCTGGTTTCTACTTTACGACGATTTAAGGAGGTCGTTGAAATACAGATACACGTATGTGATATATTTGAGTGTAAAGATGAGAATGAATGAAAGAAAATGGGAACAGGTTTATTTTTAAAAACTTTATTTGATATGTAAATTTGAAATATCTGTTTCTGATTTTTTTTGTGTGTGTTTGTACAGTGCCTAGCACAATGGGAACATGTTCTATGACTAAGGCTCTTAGTTACTACAGTAATACAAATAATGATAGAATTACTATAAAGCTGAGCAAGTGAACACTTAAAATTAAATCGAACTGTTGAGGTTCCCAAAGTGATGGCTGTCTCAGAAGGCATAAATTCAGTTCAGAATATGCATCCATAAGTATAGATGCTTACCTGAACCTATATGGTCTGCAAAACTGGAATAGAAATCCCCTGATAACAATCCGTCACTCTATCAATCATCATTTTATAATGTATCCATCATAGTTGTATCTGAGCACCTTTTATGAAAAATAAACACAGAATATGTGTCTTTCAGCCCTGGCATCAGCAACAAGCTTAAAGTTATTGATGAGATTTTTAAAAAAATATCGAAGTAGTGTAAATGCTGTTGTACTTGAGAAGGTTGTCATGGGACAGTTTATTGAACAGATGGGTTTTGCATATAGTTTTGAATGCAGTGAGGGTGGTACTCGTTTTTATTTTGTCAGGCAATGAGTTCCGTAGTTTTTTTTTCTGGCTCCTGTAGATGTGAGGCTTTCCCTGCTTGTCATCCGCTTTATTTTTCTAGTGGAATGAAGCCATTGTGTGAGGTCACTTTCTTCTGAGTCCCACTACTTCTGTTTCAGCTCAAGCTAGAAATATCATATCCATGGCCTTCTTTCACAGATTTTTGGCTTTTCCCTTTCAGGTTTAACTTTGTGCCCAGTACAGAAACGGGGAAAAGTGAAAAAAATAATGTTTGGGGGAGGAAATTACTCAAATAATATTTAGTCGCAATGAGTTTTGAACACAGGTTTTTGTCTATCACTCAGTTTACCCGTTTCTAGTTAATAGCCTCACATTTTACAAATAGAGTTGTTGGGTTTTTCTCTTTAATTTCTAGATTTACTATAAGTATTTTAGCAAACTGGTATTTCAAACTGAACATTATGGAGCAGGCATGCAGGCTGTGTGGTGTGAACACTTCAATATCTGATAGGGGGCATCTTCACCCACCATATGGGGTAACTTGTGTCCTCTGGGCATTAGTAAGAAGCAGTCTTGCTATTTCTGAGCACAGGATCCGTCATTGTGTCTGTCCCTTGCACTAGGATGCAAAAGTGAGGGGAAAGGTCTTCCTTTTTTCTCTCCTGTGTATTTGTTCTATAGCTAGGCACTATCTCAACCTATGAAGACATGTATAACTTTGTTCATGCTAAGAATTAATTCAAATTATGTTCTGTTTTATTTTCTTTCTTATATCTATGAATGATAGTTTGGAGGGAGAATATGTATACATCTAGGGGTAATTTGGAAATTAAGGTTTTCAGCAAAAGTAGTGTTTCAGTGAATTTAAATGCTGGGCCTAAAATGTTGACAATGTTTTATTTATTTTTACATGAAGTTAGGTAATTTCAGTTTATAACAGTGGTCCTGGTAATGGACTAGGCCCAATGCTAGTTTTTCAAAACATCAACCAATAGCTGCCACTAACTTACATAAGTGAGTCAAACTAACCGCGACTAAACTGCAACTGAGGGTATATGTACACGGCAGTAGGGAGGTGTGATTGAAGCACATCTGGGCATGCCAAAGCTAGCTTTGATCTAGCTAGCTCACTAAAAATAGCAGTGAAGCACAGGCAGCAGCATGGGTTAGCTAACCAAGTGCAAGGCCGTCCAGGACCTTGGGTACATGCTCGTGCAGCTAATCTGTGCAGTCACCTGCACCACCAGTTTCGTTGCTATTTTTAGAAAACTAGCTTGATCAGTGCTGCTCCGGGTATGCCCGTGCATGCCTTAATGGCTTAATCAGACCTCCTGACTACGGTGTAGAAATACTCTTAAGACTAAAAGTGGTTCGATGCTCAGACCTTCTGCTATGTTCTGATCTACCTTGCAGTCCAATATGATTACATGTCTAAAAACCAAAACAAAAGATACCAAAAGAGTATATCTGTTTTACTAATAAATTTATTTTCATTAATTCTGTAACACATGTTATCCGACTTCCATCATTTTAAAAGTTGATATTTTTTAAATGTACATTTGTTGTTGATCACATCATTTTGTTATTTGTAGGGATTTCACATGATCTTGACAATCATTGACTTGTCACCTTGTTTTGCAAAGCTGCTGATATATGAATCATTTGACACAGTCATTTTTTATCAAATGTCCATGTGTTTCACTGAACAAAGAGACCAGCAGGTATCTTCTCTCTTTCAATCACTCCACATCCAGATGTTCTGAAATGTTCTGAAGTTTGCTACCTTCATTTCAATTATTTCTCTTCCCATTCAGTTTCAAAGCTTGTGCTGTAAATGCTTCGCTAAAATAGCCAACAATGATGATTTAAAAAACGTGATGCTGGAGAAAGCATGTGCTGAGTACAATAGCATTATGGCTGAATGTTTACTTTTACTGGGAGCTGATGTTAATAAGAACACAAAGACGAGCTCTTTAATCTATCAGGTAGGTTCTTGAAAATGTAGATCGTTATATTGGTTTGAAAGATGTCACTTTTTTGGATGGTGTGTGTGTGTGTGTGTGTGTGTGTGTGCGCGCGCAAGATTAACTATCATTAGACCCAATCCTGCCGTGTTCTGAGCATCCTGCAGGGAAAAGTTTCAAAGGGGCTTGGTGACTGAGGTACACCTAGTGTTAACCTGCAAGGCATAGTAAGGGCTGGCATAGCCCAGAGGAAATAAGTTGTTGGGCTAATTGACCAGAAGTGTCAGGGAGTTGACACTCAGTTAAGCACAAGCAAGTCTCCCTCTTTCAGGAGGCATGAGGGTAAAAAGGTAACTCTCAATCCTGGGTATCCCAAGAAGCGTCACACCGTTGACTTCAGATTGCAGCAAGCAAAACACAAATTATTCATCATTTTCATTGGTATAACCAGCCACTTATGTGAACTCATGCCAAAACATCTGGCATTTGCCACATGTTTTGGAGGTCTCCATTACACAAGTAGGCTAAAGCAGCCTAGGGGGCTTGATCAACTTCACTTAGGCAGTTTTAGAAATCTCAGCCTTGATGTTTAGGAAATTCTGTGTTACAGTTCATCCCAGGACACCGTGCTGAGAATATGGAGAAACAATAGTTGAAACAACGCTTGTTAAAATCTAAGCTCCTGTTTTACACACATTTTGTTCATTTCTTCTGTAATAGGTTTGTGAGAAAGGAAGCAATCCTAAGCTGGTGGAACTGCTATTAAGTAGTGGTGCTCGAGAGCAGGATGTTCGGAGTGCTTTAACAGTCAGCATAAAGAAAGGAGATAGCCAGATCATCAGCTTGCTCTTAAGGAAGCTTAGCCTGGATGTAGCCAACAGCAGTATATGTCTTGGAGGATTTTGTATGGGGAGAATTGAACCTTCCTGGCTCAGCCCTTTGTTCCCAAATAAACTTACTCCTATAAGAAAACAAACAAGTAAGTGTATATAGAATTTGTTATATTAAAATGTGATAAACCCTCCTAATGATGTTTTACAAACCTTCAGAAAGAGTTTTAAAATTGAAATGCAGTGTTAGAGAGCCTGTTACATAGGTCATGTAAATCAGCATAGCCCTCTTGGTTCTGAAATGGGCCCTACACTTTAAAAATAAAAAATCAAGTCTTTATAGTAATTTTAATTTTCATGAATTTACTGAAGAACATTCCACTTTATTGGTGTCTTAGATGCAGGTTCTGCATTGGCAAGAATGGTGCTCAGATACCAAATGAAGAGTTTTTCAGAAGACCGATCAAGATCCAGTTCTGATGTAACTTTCTCTGAAGATGTACTGGATAAAAGTGATGATTGGATATTCATGCCTGAGCCATTAGTAGACAGTGTTTTTCGCTTGAGTGATGACATCGATAGTGAAGGTACATATACTCTAGCAATTTTATCTCCTCTTCACAATGCTGGTCTAGAATTTGGGATGAAAATTCAATTTAAAGTATTTTGGCAACTATTGGACCATAAAGTAATAAATAAAAAGTAATAAAGTATATACCCCAATTTATTTGTTTTAAGGTAGAACAATTCGTGTATAACTGTAAGATATTTTTATATAAGCCTTTGTGTATATGTGGAAAACCGTGACAGGTAAATGTATGTGTCTTCAAAACACGAAACTAAAGTTCTTAGGTTTTAGATTATTCACTTAATTTATTTTCTATCATTTCATTGGCTCAAATGAACTCACACTGAAAAACAATAAAGGACTAACACATCACATCACCTGGGAGAAAACACTTTTCATAGGTCAGATATAAATTGACTGTTTTATCAGTCCTCATCCTCAAAGAAACCTGCAGAACATCTTCAAAAGATGAGCTAGGAGCTTAATTTTATAACTTTTTCCTAGACACTAAAAATTGTGGTCTTAATAAAGACATTGGATTTATGGCTTATTACATCTTATTACTCTTTTTTGTCTTATAACTGGAGAAGTGTTAATGGCCACTTCACCTCAAATGGTCTCTTAGAATATGTGTTCACTACTTATGCTAAACAATTTATTCCACCCTGTATTTAGCTGTGACACTCTGAGTACCTTTTCCAGACCTGAAGAAAAGCTCTGTGTAGCTCAAAAGCTTGTCTTTTTCACCAACAGAAGTTTGTCCAATAAAAGATACCTCACTCACCTTCTCTATTAAAAAAGAAGTCTTTATCACATCTTCAGAAAACTTAACTTAAATTCCAGGGATGCATCTTCAACATACAATCTTTCCCGGCAGTAATTATAGTAAATGTTAATGTCATTAAATAGTTACAACAGAATTTTTGCATTGCATTCAGTGACTAATAAAATTGACTAGACAATCAGATTTTTTGCATTAATGCCAGTGTTATTTTTTGAAAATCTTGGAAAACTAAAACCATTGCTCAAGAATTAGAATTTTAACATCTTTGTGGAATCAGAAAAGTCTGACTTGTTGATGTTTTTGTTATCTATTTTGTTCTTTTCTATTGCATCATTCGACATCATTTTTCATTACTGTAGTATTGTTTTCCAGAAGTATGTATGCTAGTAGATACTGTTAGTTGCCCCATATAGCAAAACTGGTATTCATTTGTAAATTGTGGTGAACAACATGAATTCTTCCAATGGGGTGGTCTTAGGATTTTAGAGGCCTGTCTCCTCCTCCACAATGAATGAGTATGAGGCACACAGATCTCCTATCTCCACTTCACACGTCCAGCAGATAGGAGAGAATAAGACTGAATGGGGCCCAGATATACGAAACCACAGAAGCCACCAAAACACTCAGACATTTCCCATTAAACAATGATGGGAGGGAGAATTTATATTTACAATACCATTAATTATTATTTGTATTAACATTTTGTATTGTGGTGGCATAAGATGTAAATCAATATATAAAATGTATCTAATAGCACCAAATGTTGTTGTGTATAGTAACTTTCCATCCAAGGTGGGAAGAAACCCAGGAGCTTCCCATCCATCCTTCTCTCTTAATATCCAAATGAATTTAGGAGTCTCTCTGTTTCCCGCCTTTGCCAGTCAGGGCTGAGAAAGCCATTGGACCTTTTTTTGTTCATCCCATTCACCCTCCCACCATCTCTCTCCTTCTCATCCGAAGGCCAAAAGGGGCCAGATCCCTTTTTTTTCTTTTACCCTCTCATGCAGTGGTAGTGAGTTGAGGGGACTCCACTCTTCCTCTCCTTCCCATTCAAGAGAAGGGGGTACTCAGAAGGCACCTCCCTTCCTTCCCTCCCAGCTTCAAGTGCTGCCACTATAGGACAGCATAGGCAAAGAGCAGAAGAAGAGCCAGCAAGAGGAGGATAGAACTGCAGGAGGAAGGAGGGCAGGCAACTATAGATCACTCAACAGCAGCCACTATAGTGGCCTCTAATGGCTGATGCAGCAATTTGTTCTAAGAAATGCTGAAGCCACAAGTCTGAAGCTCCCCTCAACAGCATGTTTGCCTGTACGGCTCAGAGCTCTCCTTCTTCCAAGCAGACGAGGATATATTTTTAAAGCTAACTTAAGTATCACAGCTCTATATTTCTGAAAATCCTGTTAGTGTGAATGCTAAAGGAATGACCTAGCAAACTAAAGTTCATATCTGGAGCTCGTTAAATTAGTACAGTACATATACTCTAGAGTATGTTCTTTACATATTGCACATTGAATTAGCCTGTCAATTCCTGCTATTATTAATGTGCTGGAAATACCGCATTACAGTTTACGTTGATATGTGTATTATTTGGTTGAATTTTCTGTAGCTCTATGTCCTCACTTTGTAATAGGGAGTGAAGGTTCATTTCTGATGAAAAAGAAATCCAACTCCATTGCAGTTACTGATCTGTACAAAGATACAACCTTACAAACATATTCTCCTACTTTGCCAAGGCATTCCAATTCTCTGGTAAGATAAGTAATTTATTCACTATAAACCTCCCTAAATCCATTATGTATGTTGCCTGATGGAAAACTATTATTAATGATAAAATATCAAGAAATGACTGGTGGTCACCAATACACCATTTAGTACCTTATAAAATATTCCATAACTGTGTGATGACTGTGCTCCCATCTAAATAGAGTGCTGCTATAGATAGCATTTTATTTCAGCAAATGTTTATGAACTGCCTATGACAAACAGTACAAATAGCCATTCCGATCTAACGAGAACTATTTAAACTTCAGATCATATTTTTTAAACTAACTGTCATTTTTATGTTGTCAAAGAAAAATAGCCTGTAAATTTCATTATACTTGAAATCTATTCTTGTTTTGTATTACAAGTCAGTAATTCTGAAACAGTAAGTAAGTTACTTTTTGTTGGATTTTAAGGTTAAAATTTTCATCTTTTTGAATTACTGTGTGGATGACTTGCAGATTGCTATAAAAAGAAAGTTAATCGAATTCATACATTTTTAGAGATGTAAAAATATTACAGATGTTGTTTTTGTTCTGTTTTTGGATTTACCAGGGACCTGGTTCAGATCATGAACCATTAGTGAAGCAAAGAAGAAGATTATTGTCTTCAGATGAATCTCACAGTAAGTCAGATGTAAAAATACATAAGATTTTCCAGTTTTTAACATTTTTTGTGGATAACTGTAATCAGTAATCCATTGAAGTAAACTGTCTAAGCAACATTGGCACTGTTCTATTCAAGTTTGAAAAATTAGGGGTAAGTTTTCCAAAAATGTTGTTTAGAAAAATTACTCCTAATACTTTAAACTTTAATAAAACAGTACAAATGTTGCTTATACAGTAAAGCACTTTTCTCTTCAGCTTTACAAAGAATTTCTGTAAGATTATGTATAATAATGTACATTCATGACTGCCCTAAGAAGCATTTTTAAAGCTATTTGTATTATGCAGAACACAAGTATACCTCTACTCCCTATAGAACCCTATGGGAATTTGAATTGCAGCTTCTTAACAGAAGTCCCCATTGGCTCCCATTTCAGCCAATATCTAAACAGCCATTGCCTTCATTGGGTGCAGAGTTAGACCTCAAATTCTGTGAATTGTAATTCAGAGATCAATGAAATTGTGTTTATTAAATTGTTGTATGTTTTACCTGTGAACATGAATGCTTATGTTTTTGTTTTAATAGAAGGGATCTCAAAATTCCAACCGCATTTAAAACGATCAGACAGTTTGTCTTCATTGGTCTCTGAGAAAGACTATATTAAGTCATTAGATCTTTCATCAAATGAGCTGGAGAATATAGATGCCATCAGTCAGAACTGCTGCTTAACTGGTCACTTGGAACATCTTGAGAAATTGGAGCTGCAATTCAAATTCCCATAGGGTTCTATAGGGAGTAGAGGTATATTTGT